GGTAGGACTTGAGTTTGCCTTTTAAAATATCAACATTATTCGTTGCAGGTGAATATAAAAGTGATTTAAGTCCTTCCAGTGATTATGAATACAATGACAGTTTTCTGAAAATAAGGGATAAACACTCGGCACATGGCTGATGATGAGTAGTTAGGTGTAGTGCCAGTTTCCCTGTAGCGACATATACCACAGCCCTGAGGTGCAGGATCTCCCAGAGCTCACCAGCTCAGCAGCAACTTCAAAATGCATGGCTGCATTTGTATGCTCAACACGGCGTAGGATCTTAGCCCAGGGCCATGTTGTATTCTCAGAGGAAGTTATGATGAGAAGTGAGGACACATGATCCGAGATGATCCAAAACAAATAACACGCCCATCCCAGAAGTCTGTGGAGAAACATTTGATGGCCTTCTTGTTCATTTCATCATCCTCACAGAAAGTTTGATAAACATTGTCAATACTCAACTGAAACCAGCAACATAACACATTTTGCTCCTGGGTGAGTTGGAGGTGTTCTGTCGTCGTGGAGCTTGAATGATGTATTGTGTCGTCTGGAGATGAGGATTAAATTTGCATCTGCAGGTGAACAGTGCATGAGATGGTGACAGGCGGCTGTCAGAGAACACAGATTAGAGGCTCACCTCTGGAGCTGCCTGTTCAGGCTCAAGTGACAGCAGTGATGTAGTTAGAAGCTAAATCATGTCACTGTGTATAATGAACCCTTTATTTAAATGAATATTAATTCATATTTCTTCTTTTGTGTGTTCTATTTCGGTGGGTGTCAGAAAACATTTCTGCACTGAAAATCAGACTCCTCGTGTCTCAATAGAAGTCATTTAGTCAAATCAAATTCAAATATTTAAACATTGCAGGCTTGGAGATCTCCTAACACGGATAATTTGCTGCCTCTGACAACTGAGTTCAAAGAGAAGAGGAACCCGTCTCTTGCAATCTTGAAGATAACCAAACCCCCTCCGAGCAGCAGCGCTGGGTGGAAAGAATAATAACAACAGGATATAGGGATAAAGTATTTTGTACAATCCGCTTCTTCCCTCTCTGCGTGCTCGTCATGTGGAAGCAGAAAAGACATGGTAATGAGGACATTAATAAAGGATGTGAATTCATTTTTAATGATCCACTGTCCCCTTTAGTTTGAAACAGATTTTTGTGTCCGCCGTTGTTCACAGTCCCTGTTTTGCTTTGACAGGGACTCGTGAATTTGTTTTTTCCCCCCAATGCACAAGCAAAGTGCTGCATTAAACCTGCATACACCTGACTGTGTGTGCGAGTGAGAGATAGAGAGATGCAGGATCAATCGACTGTCTATTTTTGGAAAATAATAAATCTCTCATGTCGGAGAATGAGGAGGGGGAGTAAGAAAGATAGAAACAACTTTATTATTCTGGAGGACATTTAGTTCAGCATTAAATACATGCAGTAGATAACAGGGAATGAAGTAGTGATCACCAGTGGTGATAACCAAATAACATTTAATTGCACAGAAAGAAAGGTATTTAACAAAATGCATCTTTCCCTGCAGCTGGTCAAGAAAGTCGTGATTAGTTGCATCTATTGATGATCATCAGTGTACCTGTATGTTCTGTATCTTTTATTTAGGGAACTGTGAGCCATGTTTATTTGGTCTCCATGATTTCCAGGCTTCCATCTAATACGGATGACAGGGGATGAACAGACCTTGGGCCCCAGGAGGGAATGCTGGTGTTTTCCTGCAACACAATCTTTCAATTGCAACCTGATAGACATGTTATCACACTTATCTTATTGTGTCAATTTCACAACATTTATGTCTGTCACCTCAGCACAGAGGAGACTTTGTGTTAAAAAGAGGCAGCACGAATAGAAAAGGGGAAATCATAGCCCACAAATACAAGCAGCAGCAGCAGCAGCAGCAGCTATGTATTATTGTTAGAAGTGGCTACAGACATTCACACATGCACACACAGTCAGCTCTATTCTGACTTTTGTCAGGGGAGAGTCTGTCTTCTCTCTGCAGCTTCTTCTTCTTCTCATCGCTCTCTCCCTCCCTCACTCTATCTCTCCCTCTCCCTCTCTCTCTCTTGCTTTGTTCATTCTGTGTTTGCTGTGCTCTCTGTCTGAAGCAGCGCCACACTGGAGCACTAATGAGCAGGCGGAGAGAGCAACCCAGCGCAGATCTCCCATCAGCTGAGGAGCAGCAGCAACCCTGACGGCATCTGAGGCAACAACGCAGAGGACTGATCTGCAGTCAGGGGGGGAGGCAGCATCCGAGAAGCAAATGACAGCCCCGGGAGAGGCGTAAGAGAGAGAGGTCGTGAGGTGGCTTCAAAAGGCAATTTAGCAGCCAGTTGAGAGAGAGAGAGAGTGAGAGGAGAGGATTGCTCCGGCACAACAGCCCGACCTTCTCCACACTCGGAGGCTGACCCTCAGTGCACTCTCTGCTGCTGAAGACGAAGGACCTTTCCCCCCTCGGAGGAGCTCAGCCATGGAGGAGATGCTCACCTGCAGCCGGAGCCCTTTCTCCCAGGTGTTCGGGCGCCAGGGTCAGCTCATGCAAGCCAGTGAGTGTTGACATCAACAGAAAGCCTGCGAAATATCAGAGCAGACAAAGTTTTGTTTACAGTGTTTAATTCTGGTTGAGTTTAACTTGATGCATGCAGTGTTTGAGTAACGGACGCACACGCTGTTATTTTGTTTTTAAAGCTCAACACAAATGCAGAGACTAGCCAATGATTAAAAATGGCACAGAAAATTTGAGCTGTCATGTAAAATCAAGGCTGTTGAGAATGTTTGTCCCAATTTTACTTAAAAGCTGTATATTTTACAGTTTATATTTTAGAAACATAACCAAATAATGATAATTTGAAGCAACATTTGAGCTATTCCTCATTTAAATCAATCATTTGTAATATAACACAGTAAAACAGAGTGATGTCTTAATGTCGATAGAATGTGATGATCCTTTTATGCAGGAAACAGATGCTTGATGTGGAAATGTGTGTGTGTGTGTGTGTGTGTGTGTGTGTGTGTGTGTGTGTGTGTTTGAGTGTGTGTGTGTGTGTGTGTGTGTGTGTGTGTGTGTGTGTGTGTGTGTGTGAGCAAACGTCAATTAGGGAAAATTCTTTGATCTCTGTTCGGCTGAACATGCCACAGGTCTTAAAAGAAGTAAAAAAATAGACGTCAGCAGAGTAACATTTACAGATATTGCAGTAATTGTACATAACAGCTTGAATGATGTAAACAGTAAATGCCTTTGTGACGTGGATAGTGTTTGATTTTTCTTGTGATGTATATGTTCCCGTGCTTGAATATCAAAATGGAGTGCACATTGATTCACTAATTCACATTAAGTTTAACAGGATTTCATCTTGGCAAATACGTCTGAGGCTGGTGAGTGAAAAATAGATGAGGTTTGCTCACAATTGTTCTTTATGGAAATTATCATTGAACATTTGAAGAGATGGATCCCCACAGCGTCCATTTAAACTCTGCGAATGAGTACATATATTGTCTATTATTTGTATATGACTGTTTGTATTATGTTTTATTTGTATATGTGGTAGGTTCAGTGTGAATAGTTTGAGCTTTGAGACTCAGTGACTGCTTCTTTTTTCAAATCTCATAGCGTGACAGAACCTGCCTGAGGTGGTCAGTTCCAAGGTGTCACATAACTCCTAAAACAGAAAATGGGACAGTTTGGTCACGGCTGACCTCCTCTCAGTATTGGGGTCAGCCATCACAAAAAAAATTGAGAGGAGAAAGATTTATTTTTTTCATTTTTCATTTTGAAAGTTAAATTTCTGAGAATAAAGTCACCTCCTCTGGTCACATCCAGTTAGAGGAGCGGCTGACGATGAGCTGCAATCTTCAGTTTGCATCAATGCGGCCACCTCTTTCAGCACGATCTCTTCATAGTGTAATAGAGAAGGAATTTAATTTAAGTTTGATTTAATTAAAATAAAGTTTGATAGTATTAGTAGTTGGATGTATTCTTAAGAATTGGTCTTTGCTCTTTAACTTTCAAGTTTTTTCTCAACATTTCAGGTTAATTCTCAATACGTACAATGAAAAACAATTAAAAAGACATTTAAAAAAATCTCTCCTCTTCTTATTGTTTTTAACGCCTGGCCTGAATACTCCTCCGTACTGACCTGATGTGAAACATAGTCAGTTGTGAGTTCTCAGCTTGTCTGCAGTTTGAGATGATTGTATATAAACGCTTGTATCTGCTGGGCGAGCTCATCCACTGTTTCATGGAAATGGATTTGGATTGTGTGTTTTTTTCTCTCTCTTCACTTCTGCTGCCGTATAAAAAAGGACCTTGAGTTTTCTTCTTTTTTTTTTTTACAGTGAACTGAACTTCACCTTGTCTCCTTTTACTTTCTCATTCATCAATAAAAATGGTTTCCTGCTGTAGGAAAGCAATGGCTTTTGTTTCGGGCCTTAATTCTAGACAATGGAAACGTTAGATTTCTCTAAATTACATTTTATGTAACTAGAACTTGCCACTGCTAGTTTAGTTTAGTTTGTATGTTGTAGTCATTCATTGTAATCAGAAATCAAACAAGATATATTCATAGAATCAGATAATATTGCTTGATTTGAACAACTGAAGTTATTATTAATAGCTATGGGAGAACAAAGCAGGCAAAGTGTAACGCCAGGAAGCAAAGCATTCTTTCTTTGTGCAATGTGCCTCTGCACTATACTGACAAGCTGTTCACACTGAATGTTCAGTCTTTGTCCCACACTTATTTCACATAAGGCCAAGGGGTGTTCTGCTCCTTCCCAGTTTAAAACAACTCAGTGTCAAACGGAGATGCTCATTTACAGCGACTCCCCTCTGACGTCTGCTTATCAGTCACGGCATAGGTGAGAAACGCTGGGTCCATTAGACCGAAGTGCCACACTCTGGTTGTGAAAATGACATTATCATTGCATGTGCTGTGGTGAATTACTGTCAGTCGTGCTCTCCCCCAAGTTATCTATGCTCTTTGAAGCTTGTGCTGCATGTCTGCGATTTCCAATGTGCAGGAGAGGGAAGTGAAGGGGGAGATAGAGGGAGGGGGGCAAGAAAGTGAGCAAGCTGCAAATTGTGTGAGTAAGGGGTGGCTGTTTTTCTCTATTTTTAGCAACAACCTTATATACCGTTATGCGGCTGTTGGAAGAGTAATCCACAGTAATGCTGGCTCGCAAATATCTGAGCAGTAATTATAGGGGGATTTTTGTTATCTTTGGCTGTCACCCATTGGATCAGAAGTCCCTCAGCTATATGCAAAGGCCTGAAATGCAGAGAGAAAATCCATTACACGAGTATTGCACGTGTCCAAAGACTTGAATATTAACATCCCTCTGATGGTACCCTGACAGAATAAACAGATTTTTTTTTTTTTCCCATGAAGCACATTCACGTGGCAGTGCCAGGTGCACAATCCTGCTACAATGCTGCCGTTCCCCCACTGGTGGTGTGATCTGTTCTGTGTTCAGTGATGAGATGTGTTGACATTCCTCAGGAGCTTTGACAAGGCAGCGTGATGATGTCTTAAGTTTTCTGGCTTCTCAATAGTTAATGTATTCGGGGAAAGTTTATATCTTATGTCCAGGACTTTTCAAGGTTAGTGCATTCTGGGTAGAGCACAATTTCTAACGACCTTCCCTTGTGTGTATTTGTGCTATCATATAATGCATTTTGAATGTGTACCTGTTTTGACATGTTTTCACCTCTGTCTGTGTTTGTTGATTGGTTTTCGGCGAAACTTAGTGGAAGGACGGGACACAGGAAAGAAACCAATTTGCGTGTCCAGCGTGGATCTAGTCAATATTTTTAAATCTGTTTTGCAGGAATTCATTAGTTTTGCGAGAAAGGGAGTTTTTCAATATTTTTAAGATTAAAATCCAGATCCAGCAGATTTGATGTTGTTTGAAAAGGGGACTGTTGTTGCTTTGGTGGAGTATTGTTCTGCACTGAGCAAAACTCTAGTTGGTTCCTGTAATAGAATTAAAAATCTGGTTCCACTTGTAGATAAATACCCAGCGCAGCAATGTCTGTTTAAAAAGCCAATGAGCAAGAGTTTACCGTTCAATCACAGAACAGTACCTGAATCATACCTGTAGGGTGTTACTGTATGTTATGATTCGTTTGACAGTCTTAAAACTCAAACCTTCTAATTCTGTTTATCAAAAGCTTCCTGTCCGACTCTGTCTATTGGCCCAAGTTCTAGATATCAGAACCAACATATAAAATTATTTATATACAAGGCTAATTATGTAAATTTGCTGCATATTTCTTTATTTTTCATTGACCTGGATTTTGAGATATACTGATGTAAATCACTTTTCTTTTGTCAAACACACAATTCTGTTGTGTTATTGCTGCTTATGGAGCATTATGTTAACCCATTCTAAGAAAGGAACAAGTGAAAATGAGAGTTAAATTGTCTTTTAGATACTAAATACATATTAATGTCTTAGATAAGCTGAATTTCATTACAGATCTGGACAGGATGAGATAGCCTTGCAGTTGTGAAGAACTGATTGATGAGTTTGATGATTATTTAATGGTATTTTTATTAAAGCTGTATTTTAAATAAAACTTCAGTGCAGGTTTCAGAGACAATATAATATCTGAAGGAGAGTATGTCAAAGTTGGAGAGTCTTAACCATCACTTTACCCTTGAATATCCTCCAATACTGCAATAAACCGTCGGTAAGTCCCTGCGCAGGAGAGGTGAACGTGATTTGAAATTTTAATATGCGACCACTGCAGGTGTAGAACACATTTCTGTCGTCTTTGAGGAGCTCAATTCTGCTCCTTCTTCCAATTATGTTGTGGTTCCTGCACAGTCACAGATTCCTCACACCTCCTCCTTACCCGGTGGGTTTTCCTGCGTTAGGAGATTAGCTTCATGCTCTCAGTGTTGCTAATCGTGTAGAAGGAGTCACGTTGCAGGAGAGGATGCAACGCAGTCTCACGGAAAGAGGCTTGCAGGTGTTGTCAGTGTGTGCACTCAGTAAGGTAATGATGGTTCTCCAAGTGCTGAGTCATGGATTTGGGGTTTTTGTCCGTATTCTTTTTTGATTTATTGCATTTTGCTCCAGAGCTGGGCAATAAAACAACATCACCAATTATTGCAATATGATACCCGTCAATGGCAATAATAAGGAAGTCCGCTATATGTTGAGTGTGCAGGTGTAACACATAATTGATCGACCTCAGATTTGTAAAATGTTCTCTGCTCATAAATAAGAGTCTAAAACCACAACCTTCACTCAGTAGCGTTAAACTAAAAGAGAAATAATAAAGTGACATATCGTGGTATAGTTATCAAAAATAATGTGACCTAGTTGAGTAATAAAAGCCATGGGAGATACTTCTTCAGTCGTATCTCACGTCGCAGTCACTGAGGGAAAAATGTTTCACCACACACTGACAAAAAATAACTTATTAAATAAGTAATGACATAGACCACAATCGTGACTCCTGATTAAAGTAAAAAAACATGCTGTGAAGTACTTTGGGTACACATTGCTGCATACTTTCACGTTGCTGGTGTAATTTTAG